ACTCTGGAATAAGCTGAGAGACCTTAAATAAACCACTGAAACTTTAGGTACCTCAGTTTCCTGTTTGACAAAATGGAATTAATAATAGTGTTTACCTCATAGGTTGTTGTGAGAATTCAGTGTGGTAACCCACAAAAAGCACTTAGACCAATGTCTGGCACATGATAAGCTCTACGTAAGTTTTGCTATAATGTCTCCCTATGTACCAATTAGTTTATTCAACCAACGTGTACCAGGCACCCTATTTTGGGTTCTAAGCTCTGTGCTGGCTATCAGGAATACAAAAATGCAAAGACATGTTTCTGTGTTCCTGTAGCCCACAGCCATGGCAGATACTGCTAAATGAGAATTAACAGACCATTACATTTGTGAGTACATGTTGGTGTATATTTTTCCAAAGTGGAGAACTCACAGTCTTCATTATTTTCTCAAAGGGATCCATGACCACTTCACAGATTTTTAAAATCTGGATAAGGATCACCTTAATTTTGTTATAAATATTGTTATAAATATTGTTATTATTATATTGTTACAAATAAAGCAGAGGCTGGGCACGGTGACTCACGCTAGTAATCCCAGCATTTTGGGAGGCCAAAATAGGCAGGTTGCTTGAGCCCAGGAGTTCAAGAACAACCTGGGCAACTGGGCAAAACCCCATCTCTACAAAAAGTACAAAAATTAGCTGGGCATGATGGCACAATCCTGTGGTCCCAGCTACACAGAAGGGTGAGGTGGGAGGATCACCTGAGCTCTAGGAAATGAAGGTTGCAGTGAGCCATGCCTGGGTGAGAGTGAAACACTGTCTCAAAAAAAAAAAAAAAAAGAAAAGAAAAATAATTCTCGCCAGGTGTAGTGGCTCACGCCTGTAATCCCAGCACTTTGGGAGGCCAAGGCAGGCAGATCATGAGGTCAGGAGATCGAGACCCATCCTGGCTAACACGGTGACCCCCATCTCTACTAAAATACAAAAATTAGCCAGGCATGGTGGCGGGCACCTGTAGTCCCCGCTACTCGGGAGGCTGAGAGGAGAATGCTGTGAACTCGGGAGGCAGAGCTTGCAGTGAGCCGAGTTCCCCCATTGCACTCCAGCCTGGGCAACAGAGTGAGCCTCTGTCTCAACAAAAAAAAAGAAAGAAAAATAATTTCTAGTGTTCGAGATAGCATAGTAGGGTGATTATAGTTAATACATCAATATTGTATATTTCAAATAACTAGAAAGAAGATTTAGTGTTCCCAATACAACAAAATAATACACATTTGAGGTAATGGATATCTTAATACACTGATTTGGTTATCACACATTGTATGCATGTATCAATACCAATGTATTCCCATAAATATGGACAAGTTTATAAAACAATACAAAGTTTTTGGTCAGGTGTGGTGGCTCAATGCCTGTAATCCCTACTTGGGAGCTGAGGCAGGAGGATCACTTGAGCCCAAGAGTTTGAGGCTGCATTGAGCTAGGATCACACCACGGCAATCCAGCTGGGCTATAGAGTGATACTCTGTCTCAAACACACTTAAAAAAAAAAAAAACAGAACAAAACTGGGATTCATGGAATAATATTTGTTATGTCTTTGATATAATGTCCAGCTGAGCCAGATTGAGAGATTATATTGCTTTTTCTCTCCTGTACACTTTCTTTTTTTTTTTTTTTTTTTGAGATGGAGTCTCGCTCTGTCACCCAGGCTGGAGTGCAGTGGCCGGATCTCAGCTCACTGCAAGCTCCGCTCCCGGGTTCATGCCATTCTCCTGCCTCAGCCTCCGGAGTAGGCTGGGACTACAGGCGCCCGCCACCCGCCCGCTAGTTTTTGTATTTTTTAGTAGAGACGGGTTTCACTGTGTTAGCCAGGATGGTCTCCATCTCCTGACCTCGTGATCCGCCCGCCTCGGCCTTCCAAAGTGCTGGGATTACAGGCGTGAGCCACCAGCGCCCAGCTCTCCTGTACACTTTCTCCCATTCTTGCCCTGCTTCCCTCTAGGTAGAATATACTTCTGAGTTCATTGACTTTGGGCTTATCAATGATAATTACTTTGACCAGGGGGCTGTGAGTGGGTGTGATAGATGCCAAGTCTGAGAAAAATCATTAAATGCATGTTCAGAAGTTAGAAATGTCTCCCTTGATTTTGCGCTCTGCCATGAGAACAACACATCCCATATATGAGTTCATCCATCTGCTCAGATCCCCTAATGAGCAGACGCACGGAACCATGTTGAACACAGCCACAGTTAAACTGCACATCTGTGAACAAGAAAGCAAGCTGCCAACCACTGAAACTTTGGAGCTATTTGTTACTGTGGTAAAAGCTAACTGGTACACTGCAGCAAAAGCTAACTGGTATATAATTCATGCTCAATAACTGGCTTCTCCCTTCTCGCTTGCCAAGAGCAAAACAGAGAACTTTCAAGGAACTCCTTGAAGATATTGAGGATACAATATTTAAACTGTTAGGAACAATGTCAACTATAAAGACAGAAGAGGCCAGGTGCGGTGGCTCACACCTGTAATCCCAGCACTTTGGGAGGCCGAGGCAGTCGGATCACTTGAGGTCAAGAGTTGGAGACCAGCCTGGCCAACATGGTGAAACCCTGTCTCTACTAAAAATACAAAAATTAGCCAGGTGTGGTAGCAGGCACCTGTAATTCCAGCTACTAGGGAGGCTGAGCCATGAGAATCACTTGGACCTGGGAGGTGGAGGTTGCCAAGGTCATGCCACTGATCTCCAACCTGGTGACAGGGCCAAAAAAAAAAAAAAAAGAGAGAGCGAGTCAGAGATGGGTGGGATGGAGTACATTAGAATGTGTGTCAGAGACTACCAGCTGTGCACCTATCTCTTTCCCTCTTCTTTGGGTACACCGTATGTCACTGAGCTCTGGCAAAAGGAATGTGGATGAATGTGATGGGCATCACTTCCAGGTCTGGCCTATAAACCCCCACCCCAACCCATGCTTACTCCCACACAGACTTTTCTCCTTTAGGCTGTTTGGAATGGTGACCCCAGGGCAACTTGGAAGCTACACATTGAAGATGAAGAGTTGTCAGCAACCTAGAGCCCTGAATGACTGCCTGGAAGAGCTGCCTCACCACCTGAGCATCTGTGTTGGACCAGCTGGACATTCGCTGAAGCAATTAAAACAGATTTTATTCAATACTACTGACAGTCAGGGAAAGATCTGAGCTCCATTCCAATTTGTGCCCAGGTATCTGGGCATTTTAAAGGGAGAAGGAGGGAGCGGGGGGATGGCAGGGCTTGAGATGAGTTAAGGAAGTGAGAAATTACAAAGAGCAGGAAGGGAAAAGGGCTTGGCCCATGTGGCTGAGACTAGCACAGGACCCCAGGTGTTAGCTGGAATAAACAGTAAGCTCTTTGAATTTTATAGGCAGGCACTTTCAGGGTGGGCTTGAATCATGCTAGGGGGTGCGTCCTTGTGCTGTTGGAACCATGTTAGTGTGTGTCCAAGTCTTTTTTTCTTTTTCTTTTTTTTCAGAGACACGGTCTCACTCTGTTGCCCAGGCTGGAGTGCAATGGTGCAATCACAGCTCACTACAGCCTTGAACTCCTAGGCTCAAGTGATCCTCCCACCTCAACCTCCTGAGTACTTGACACCACAGGTGCACACCACCATGTCTGACTAGTTTTTTAAAAAATATTTTTGTAGAGATGGGGTCTCCCTGTTTCTCAGACTGGTCTTCAACTGCTGGGCTCAAGTAATCCTACTTCCTCGGCCTTCCAAAGTGCTGGATTATAGGCGTGCGCCACCATGCCCAGCCTGTCCAAGTCTTTATAGGCTGAGGTTAAGACCTGGTAAGAGATAGGTCAAGAAGAGAATCTTTGTCATCACCCCGTTGGGCTTATTCCGTTAGTTTACAAATGAAACCCGGGAAATACTGATGCAGATGGGTCCCAGCAAGAACTTAAGTACTGGTTATTCTTAACAAATGTTTATGAAGAGCTTATGTACCAAACTCCCTACCACAATCTTCACACCTACATCTACGATACCACACCTACATCCACAATCTTCATTTGCTCGTCTGTATAACCCTTTGAAATATATGTTATTATTCTCATTTTTAAAATTTATAAATATAAGCAAGCTGAGGATCTGCGTGGTCACAAAGTTGTCTATTTATGATCATGTACCTGGAGAGTGGCAGAAGCACATTGGAACCGGATCATTTTGGCTCCAAATGTAGTGCCATGTACACAAAGTACACGCGTATATGTATATACTGTAACTGATAGAGATTAGGTGCTTGATTAATGGTAGCTATTTTTTGCCTTGCAATTATTTCCATTTGTTGAAGTCGTCTTCAGCATCTCAAACTCAATGTCTCCTTTGAATAATCTCATTCTTCAAATGAAGGCACCTGACTTGGTTTACAGGAAGAGGTTGCAGCTATAAAACAGAAATTTCTCTCTGTTTGGATCTTGCTAGCTTGGGTGTTAGGGGATGGAGCATACGAGTTTGGATTCAGAAGCACTGCACTCTGACCCAGGGTGTTAAGTTGCACAGTTCTGATGAAATACAGCCACAGATCTCCTGAAGTTCTTCCAGACTGGCACGTAGGATCAGGGAGATGGTTTTTCATCATAAACTTCTGAACATTAGTATGCAGGCTCTTTTGCAGGATTTGCTGTGCAAATGTACATTCTCATATTCTGAGGTACTGGTGAGGTTCATATGCTCTCCTAGAAAGTTCCAGCATTCTATAATCTAATAAAGCTAAATTTCAGATGGATTAAGAAGTTACTAAGTAACAAAGGAAACTAGAAGAAACCTGACAATTAGAATTAAAAAAAAAATCAGGTCTTCTGTTTAAGATGCTCTTCAAACAATAGGAATCTCAGTTTGGCTGGGCACTGTGGCTCATATCTTTAATTGCAGCAACTCAGGAACTGAGATGAGAGGATCCCAGACCCCAGCCTCAGTTTCTCCCCAGGAAAGGTACAGACCCTGGGGGCCATCATCATTCAGGTGCTCACTAGACTGATGGCGGTCATGGTGTCCTCATTTCTCAGGGTGATTCCTGGAGAAACAGATGGGAGGATTGAGGAAAAGGTAAATAAATTAGAGCCAGGGCTCTGTGCAAACAAGAGTAAGTGATGAGGCAATGGGAAAGGGATAGTGAAGTTTGCTTGGGAAAATCACAAAACCTGTGGCATCACAGAGCTTATTTGCTAAGTGGTGCAATGCATTCTAGAAAACAATGATGCCTTTGGCCTATTACTACACATCCTGGATCTGGGAGTACCTAAAACACTAAATGCTGGGGCTGTCAGAGGTGGTGGGTGGGATGACAACTCAAAGAACCGAACTCTGTCGGGAATAGTGGCTGTAATCCCAGCAATTTGGGAGGCTGAGGCGGGAGGATTGCTTGAGTCCAAAAGTTCAAGGCTAGCCTGGCAGCATAGCAAGATCTTGTCTCTACAAAAAAAAAAAAAATTAATAAAACATTAGCCAGGTGTGGTGGTGTGTGCCTGAGGTCCCAGCTACTCAGGAGGTTGACGTGGGAGCATCACTTGAGCCCAGGAGTTTGAGGCCGCAGTGAGCTAGGATTGCACCACTGCACTCCAGTGTGGGTGACAGACTGAGACTCTGTCTCAAAAAATAATAATAAACTAACCAAACAAACAAACAAGTAAGTAAACTGGCTGAGGCACATACTGAACCTTGGTTAACACAATCCCAATTCCTAATCCCTTTCCTCCTTGCCTGCTTCTGCTACAGAGGTTGGAAAACTCCAATACTTGCTATCCCAGCTTTACTTGCAGCTAGCAGAGGCCATATAAGAGCTCTAGCTAATGAGGCTGTTTTACTAAGGATTGGTTGGAAGGTTTTTGCTTTTTCTGGCAAAAGGGACATACTTGGCTTAGGCTGCTTCTTTTACTTATTCCTGCTTTAACCGTGGATGTGATGCCCAAGACCGAGAATATGCTGCTCTGACAATATTAAACTCAAACAACAAAGAGTATTGTTTTTTAACATAAGAAGAGGAAAAGTGATCTCTTCTTTTATCTCTCACTTAGAATTGTCTAAGTTCTCCCAGCCGCTCCCCACTAGCTTTCCTCTCGCATGCTATTGGCCAGAATCGGATCAGCTGAGCCAATTCCTGAATTGATCGCTAACAAAGGAAGTAGAATCACACGCTAGGCTTAGACTGATCATTGAGTAGAATGGATCCTGGGGCATCAATCAAAGCAGGCCCTATAGCAGGTAAATGTGATCACAAGATAAATAATGACTTTCTGAATATAAAAACCGTAGGAATAAATAACAAATTAAAGGACTGGTGAATATGAGCTTACTGACTGAAAGCAAATTTATAAAACCACTCATAAACAAAAGGAAAAGGCAAATAAGACATCAGGGATAAATATTTGCGATTTACATGGCAAATAAAGTGTTAATATCTCATAAGTCACTTCTAAAAATTCACCTTAAGGAAATCATTAAGGACATATGCGATGATTCAGTTACAAAGATGTTTGTAGCAGAAACGTGTTTAATAATGGAAATTTGCAGGCCGGGCGAGGTGACTCACGCCTGTAATCCCAGCACTTTGGGAGGCCGAGATGGGTGGATCACGAGGTCAGGAGATCGAGACCATCCTGGCTGACACAGTGAAACCCCGTCTCTACTAAAAAATACAAAAAATTAGCCGGGCGAGGTGGCGGGCGCCTGTAGTCCCAGCTACTCGGGAGGCTGAGGCAGGAGAATGGCGTTAACCAGGGAGGCGGAGCTTGCAGTGAGCCGAGATCGCACCACTGCAGTCCAGCCTGGGCGACAGAGTGAGACTCCGTCCCCCCGCAAAAAAAAAAAAGAAAAAAATGGAAATTTGCAAGCAAGATGAATTCCCAGCAGTAAGGTACTGGTTAGGTAAAATATAATATAAACTTACAAAGGAATGCTACAGGACTATTGAAAAACAACCTCACAGAAATATACGTACTGTTATGAAAAGATGATTGTGATGTATTATTAAGTGACCAAATCAGAAAACAAATAATGCACATGGTTTGTTTCTATATACCTGAAGAAAAATGTAGGAGTATGTGTGTGTGTGTATGTGCATGTAATTATGTAGAAGGGTGTGTATTCCAGAGTTAACAGTGGCCATTTCTGATGGATGGTATATTTGTTGATTTTTCTTTTCTTTTTTTTTTGAGACAGTCTCGCTCTGTCGCCCAGGCTGGAGTGCAATGGCACAATCTCGGCTCATTGCAACCTCTGCCTCCCAGGTTCAAGTGATTCTCCTGCCTCAGCCTCTCAAGTAGCTGGGATTACAGGCACCCAGGCACCCACTACCATGCCCAGGTAATTTTTGTATTTTTAGTAGAGACAGGGTTTCACCATGTTGGTCAGGCTGATTTTGAACTCCTGACCTCAGGCGATCCACCTGCCTCGGCCTCCCAAAGTGCTGGGGTTACAAGCACTGCACCTGGTCATGTTTGTTGATTTTTTTAAACTAGTGAGCATGCATTGCATTTGTAATAAAATAAACAAGTAAAGGAACTTAATTTAGGAAACACATACCAAAAAGTAAATGAACACCTCAACAGCAGAGTGGTCAATGGGCCTAAGCAAAATATGTTCATAAAATAAAGTACAATGAGCCAATAATCAGGCATGCAAGAATTTGGTAATAAACCAGTATGTAATTAAAACAAGAATGAAATGTCTCTTTTTTTATTCCCAACCCATTGAACTGGAATGTTTTGCCCCCATGAAAAGAATAGAGCCTGGTTGGGAGTAGAGGGAAATGTACAAGTTCACAGGTGAAACTGTTCTGAAGAACATTTTGTCAATAGGTAGACATTCAAAAATGCCAATTTTCTTTTGTCTGAGCAATTATTATTATTATTTTTATTTTTGAGATGGAGTCTCACTCTGCCGCCCAGGCTAGAATGCAGGGGTGTGGTCTCGGCTCACTGCTGCAACCTCCGTCTCCCAGGTTCATGCGATTTTCCTGCCTCACCTCCAGAGTAGCTGGGATTACAGGCACATGCCACCACACCCAAATACTTTTTTTTTCTTTTTCTTTTTTTTAGCAGAGATGGGGTTTCACCTTGTTGTCCAGGTTGGTCTCAAACTTCTGACCTCAGGTGATCAGACTGCCTCGGCCTCCCAAAGTGCTGGGATTACAGGTGTGAGCCACTGTGCCTGGTCCTGGTCTAGGCAGTTATTTTAAAATTATTTTTATTTTTATTTTTTGAGACAGAGTCTGTCTCCCAGAGTGGAGTGCAGTAGTGTGATCACTGCTCACTGCAGGCTTGACGTCCTTGGGCTCAGGTAATCCTCCTGCTTCAGACTCCCCAGGAGCTGGGACTACAAGCTTGCACCACCATGCCTGGCTAATTTTGGTATTTTTTGTAGAGATGGGGTTTTGCCATGCTGCCCAGTCTGGTCTCAAAATCCCGGCTCAGGTGATCTTCCCGCCTCACCCTCTCAAAGTGCTGAGATTACAAGAGTGAGCCATCACGCCTGGTCTGATTGCACCACCATGCCCAGCTAATTTTTGTATTTTTTTGTAGAGATGGGGTTTTGCCAAGTTGGCCAGGCTGGTCTCGAACTCCTGGCCTCAAGTGATCTGCCTGCCTTGGCCTTCCAAAGTGCTGGGATTATAGGCATGAGCCACCGCACCTGGACAGCTGGCTTCTTCTTGTTGGTCAAATTATCTTGAATCAATTCTCTTCTTGACCCATTTTCTCTCTAGCTCTCTGCTGAGATTTATTGTCTCAATAGTATTTCCTAGTGTTGAAATTACCTTGTTTATTGGCTTGTCTGCTTCTTCTCACTAGAATGTCAACCTAACAAGAGCAGGGACTTGGGCTGTCTCTTGCACACATAGTCCTGAGGACTAGCACAGTGCCTGGCACATAAGAGGAATTTGATAATGTTTGATAAAGGAATGAATGGGTTTTGTAGATAAGGATGCAGATATAGGGCCGGACATGGTGGCTCACGCCTGTAATCCCAGCACTTTGGGAGGCTGAGATGGGCAGATTACTTGAGGTCAGGTGTTTGAGACCAGCCTGGCCAACATGGTGAAGCCCTGTCTCTATAAAAAATACAAAAATTAGCTGGGCATGGTGGCAGATGCCTGTAAACCCCACTCAGGAGGCTGAGGCAGGAAAATCGCTTTGCGGCAGGAGAATGGCTTGAAGCCACGAGGTGGAGATTGCAGTGAGCCCAGATCGCGTCACTGCACTTCAGCCTGCACTTCACTGCACTTCACCTTGGTGAGAGTTAGACTCCATCTCAAAAAAAAAAAAAAAAAAAGAGAAGGATGCAGATATAGAGAAGGTGAAGACTGGTACTGAACATAAAATTACTTAATTATAGACCTAATACTAAACAACCATGATAACTGTACTTACAGAATGGAGAGTGGTAATTGAAAGACAATAGCACAACTACGCTAGTGCAGTGGCTCATGCCTGTAATCCCAACACTTTGAAAGGCCGAGGCAGGTGAATGGCTTGAGCCCAGGAGTTAGCCAGGCATGGTGGCACGTACCTACTCAGGAGGCTGAGGTGGGAGGATTGCTTGAGCCTGAGAGGTGAGTTGAGATTGCACCACTGCTCTTCAGTCTGGATGACAGAGTGAGATACTGTCTCAAAACAAAAACAAAAACAGAAAACAACTAACAAAGACAGGTGAAGTAAAGGGAGATGTGAGAAAATGTGCAAATGTAATAGCAAAAAGTTGCCTGGATTTTACAATGATGAGGCCTACAAATAAAACATCACGCCACTCTTTTCTTGCTTTTCATTATCTTTTCTGAGCCTTTGTAGCCTTATTTAGAAAGCAGTACTTCTCATGTGGGAAATAAATATTTAAAACTTAACAATCCCTTTAGCTTTATGTTAGCTTTCTTTTCTTCTATTAAAAGAAAATTAGATTTCTTAAAAATTGCAATTATGAGATATTAACATTTTTGAATATTTTTCTTATCTATTTTTCAATCCTGCATCCAACTATATATCAAGATGTATGCCTATATGTATCCATCTGTGCCCAAAAAGTCCTCATCTGATATTCAGGAAAATTATTTCTGGCTGATAAAATTTGTTTTTCTTCTCTATTTTTTTTTTTTGCAGAGTTTTAATGTTTTACAATGTGTGTGTGTGTGTGTGTGTGTGTATAAAATACCAGTTTTGCAAGAAGAAAAGTGACTTTTAAAAAAATGAAAGCAGGGCTGGACACGGTGGCTCATGCCTGTAAACCCAGCACTTTGAGAAACTGAGGCGAGTGGATTATGAGGTTAGGAGATGGAGACCATCCCGGCCAACATGGTGAAACTCCATCTCTACTAAAATACAAAAAATTAGCACAGTGTGGTGGCACACGCCTATAGTCCCAGCTACTTGGGAGGCTGAGGCAGGGGAATCGCTTAAACCCAGGAGGCGGAGGTTGCAGTGAGCCGAGATTGAGCCACTGCATTCCAGCCTGGTGACAGAGCAAGACTCCGTTTTTTAAAAAAAATAAAAACAAAAACAAACAAACGAAAAAACAAAAGCAGATATACCAAAATGTTCATTTTGGATGGTAGGAATATTACAATATTATTTTTTCTTTACATTTTTACCGAAAAAAATGTTTTAATTCTAAAAAAGGAATTAAAAAAAGGAAAATGTGAATCTAAGATCAGTGCATGAGAACTAGAGACCCAGAGAGGGCAAACAGCATCAAGGTCAAAGTTGAGTGAGTCCTGGGTGAAAGTGTCTTTTCAGTCAGGGGAGATTTTCCATGCAAAAGGGACTGGGAATCATCTGCCAGGACATGGACAGAGGTGTCTGCCATTAGAAGCTGGTCCTCTCATAGCCCACCACCATCCCCCAGGAGGGCACTGGTTTCCTCAAGGTCACAGCCTTTGGTTTCTAGAAAAAATGATTAAGCAGTGAAAGGATTAAGGTCTTACAGCTCCCATTGCATGATGTATAGATGCAGAGTTTTCTAATCATCTTCTCTTTATATTTTAAAAGATGGATGACAACTACAGCCCAGGCACCTGCCCAGACTCTCTCAGATCCAGGCACAAAACAGACACCTGTCTAGTCCCTCACAGAGAGCCAGGCACAAAACAGACACTTGTCCCGTCCCTCACGGAGAGCAAAGCACAAAACAGACACCTGTTCAGCCCCTCTCAGAGAGCCAGGCACAAAGTAGAGACCTGTCCAGCTCCTGGCAAGGAGCCAGGCAAAAAACAGATGCCCATGAGTGTAAATGAATCTGTGGAACAGGCAGAATAGGAGCATCAACTGGGTACTTTTTTTTTTTTCAAATAAGAACACTTGCGTTGAGAAGAAGCCACGGGAAGAGATGTGATGAAACACTCCGCAGAGAGAGGGAGGAGCCTCCAGGTAGGTTGGAGTGAGTAGGCTGTAGAGCAGCCAGCAGGGGAGAAGAGGGGCAACCTTCTGTTCCATAATATTGAAATCACCCATTTGTGTGTCCAATTTTTCACTGGGCTGTGACGTCCTTCTAGGGTCCATGTGTAACCCCCTCCCCCTCGCCTAGCAGGATGCCTGACTCCCCCTAAGTGCTCAATAAACGTTGAACTGGACGGGCACTGGCGTGGTGGTTCACGCCTGTAATCCCAGCACTTTGGGATGCCGAGGCGCGTGGATCATCTGAGGTTAGGAGTTCGAGACCAGCCTGGCCAACATGGTGAAACCTTGTCTCTGCTAAAATTACAAAAATTAGCTGGGCTTGGTGGTGCATACCTGTGATCCCAGCTACTCCTGAGGCTGAGGCAGGAGAATCGCTTGAACCCGGAAGGCGGAGGTTGCAGGGAGCCGAGATCAGGCCACTGCACTCCAGCCTGGGTGACAGAGTGAAACTCCATCTCTAAATAAATAAATAAATAAATAAACTAAAATTTGACCTGAACAGGGGCAGCTCTTGCATCTGTCCAGTCTCGGATTTATGCGGATAGAACAAGATAAACACATCCCACATGGGAGGCCAGTGTCCACTTGTTCCTTTGGAGGAACTACTGGGCATTTAAGGGACTAGTTGAACACACTCTGTAGGTCAACTCTGCCCGGAGTGGAGGGAGCTGCGCGGACAGCTGACTCTCTGCAGGGGTTTGCAACTGGGCTCCTGGAAACAGCGGGAGACGTCGAAGGAGGAGAGAAGGTGCGTGAGCCCCTCTCACCAGGCCTGCAGATGCTGGGTGGTACCCAAAGAGGCGCTCAGATCACTGGAGCTGGAGCTCAGTCGGCGGTCTTCTGCGGGAACTGCACCCATCCCGGAGCATCTCCGGCCCTCCTATTTCACTGAACTCGCCTTCCTCTCAGAGGAAAGTGGGAAGACCGCTTGCTATCCAGGACGGTGTGGGGAGGGTAAGAGGGCTTAGGGAAAGACCGCGGAAAGCGCGGCGCACACGCCAGCTGGCATCACCGGGGATTCCCTCCGGCTCGGTGGGACTCCGGCGCGCTTGTAGCGAGGACCCCCAGCCCAGGGCAGAGCGTATCCCCTCAGCTCCCCGAGTCTGGGCCCTTGGCGGCCGCAGTGGCCCAGGCCCGCCCCGCCTCCGCGGGCGGCCCTCCCCGGCTCAGTGCCCGGCGCTGCCGGGAAGCGGGCAGAGGGGCGCACCGGGCGGCGGGCGGGGACCTGGGGAAGGCCGGGAGCGCGGGGACTGTGGACGCACGCGGCGGGCCGGGCGGCGCGCGCCTCCCCCCTCCCCCGAGGCCCGAGCGCGAGTCGCCGTGACGTCACGGGCCACCCGCCAGCCCCGCGCTCCTCCGGGCAGAGCGCGTGTGGCCGCCGAGCACATGGGCCCGCGGGCCGAGCGGGCTCGGGGAGGCCGGGACGAGGAGGGGCGACGAGGAGCTGCGAGCAAGGATGTGCCTCGGGACCCCCCGCACCTTCCCGTGGATTTCCTTGCTGAAAGGATGTTGGCGGACCCTGTGACCTGTGGAGACACGGCTAGATCTGCCCTCCAGTAAGTTCCAATTTTGTCCCCTGCGTTTCTGGAAACTCTCGAGCCTTGGCCTTGGGAAGGGATGCGCTGTGAGTAGTCGGAGGGAGGAAAGGGGCTTTCGGAATCCAGTGCGTGTGTGCTAGGTGTGCACTGTCCTCATCATCAGCCTCAAGACTGGCGGCGGGTTTGGGCGTTTGGGGAGGGGGAGGGGAGGGGGATGACACCGGATGGCCGGTGCATAGAGGCAATTCTGGATTTATGAACTTGATCAAAGGCATATTAACTAATCTCTAAAAATGGACCTCTCTGCATTCAGAACAGATTTGGGGCCACGATGTGGTTTGGAGGCCCCTCGGGCGAAACTAGAGGTCTGTGTATGTGTAATCATCCCTCCATCCTTTGACCATCACTCCCCCCTTCCTCCCACCCCCGCTCAGGCTGGGCGAAGGTGATTTCCAAAAACTCAGTAACTCCGTGTTTTGAGACTTTCTCTGCTTTTGCATCGCATGTGAGGGTTTGTTGGGTGCTCCTAAAACCTCATCATGGTAATTCTTCTCGGTTGGGCTATTGATTTAATTAGGTTTGCCTTCTCTTGCTAACGTGCTCTTATTTATGCCAGTGTTTGTGGTTCTGGGTGTAGACTTTCAGGAAGCACAGCCATGAAGCTGCATGTGTCTGTGTGGATGCCTCATGCATTTTTCTAATGGTTTGCGGGCATCGAAGATTCTTCTGTTCACCTAAGCTCCTGACTTTAGGCCCTTCTAGAACATTAGAGAAGAGAAGAAATCACATGCAAGGGTTTAGAGACAAGAGGATGAGGTTTTGGTGTTTCCTTTCTGGTCTTAGCTTTTCCAGAGAGAGGCTGTTAGCCTGGCTCTCGCCCACTCCACCACTGTGAATCCTGGCTACTGGGGCTATTCCCTTGCCGGAAAAAAACAAACAAACAAAAAACAAAACAAAACAAAAGCAAAAAACCCTAGAGAAATGTGTTTGTGTGTGGTGGGTGGGCGGAGGCCCTGAGGATGCAGGGACTGTGTCTGCTGTGTTGTCTGTTAAAAGATGTTTCAGACCTATTTTGCATACTGGCAGCGACAAGTTGAGACTTGTTCAACTTGACATAGTCCTGCGGTCATAGCGAATCTTTCTAAAGCTCTGATCAGTCAAGAAGGGGGTTGCATCAATCCTCAGAACCCTGAGTGGAACTTTCTGACGGATTTATTAGGAGGAAAACCTTCCTGGAAGCTGCAGAAGGACTAATACAGAATCCATGTCTGGGAGAAACCTCGTGGCCTGGTCTCCATTATTTGAGATGAGTTACATCTTGGAGGTGAGGACGTGCCTCGTGGTCTAAAACTTCGGCACGAGGGCCCAACTGGAATTCCACTTACGGGTATGACGATGGAAAGGCTGGGCGGCTCCACTGTGGGGTATATGCTGTACCCTTTGAATTCCCAGAGGGGATTTGTTAACTGGTTATGTTGTTTTGCCTGTTTAAGAGTGGCTTATTCTTGTTGCCTTATCTACCTTGAGTGCAGAATTTTTGCATAAACGGCTTCTCTTGAAAAATAGAAGTCCATTTTTGTTTTGTTTTGTTTTGTTTCTGATTAGCTTTCCTTTTCCTCTGTCTTAAACACCTGCCCCCGCCCCCCGCTCCCCCCACCTCCATGCTATATGTTTCTGTGGCTGGAGCTTTTCTGCACTGGAAAGGGGGTGTTCTCCCCTCTGTTCTGACATATCTGATCCCCACTAGTTTATATGTTTGCTGGTCTAAAAACCTGGTGAATTCTCACTGTCTACATCAAATCAACTCCCTGTTCTTTACTTTTTTTTTTTTCCGCCTCCTGAGCAGTAGGCAGGCACTCTGGCTGGGTTCTGGAGCCTGTGTTTGCTATGCCTGGGCCTTCTGCCTTCCCGAGATGGACACGTTTCTCTGGCAGCTTCGTCAAGCCATCTCCTGGACTATAAGACGCCCTGTTCTTTCCTCCTGTTTGTGTGAGTGGCCCTGCATTTGGGCAGACCATCGGCAGATTATCTGGGGGACATGGAAGACCTTGGATAACTGCCGGTCCAGGTTCTCTGGAGACACAGCGTCAGGCCTGCTGATGGCTGCCTTTGCTATGAGTTTTATATGTCAGGTGGCTCTTCTGGATGTGTGGCCTTTTTATTTTACATTTCCTTTCATAGTTGGCTGCAGACATGACATTCTCCTTTTTCTCTTGTTTTGCTTTTTTTTTTTTTTTTTTTGTGAGACAGAGTTTCACTCTTGTTGCCCAGGCTGGAGTAAAATGGCTCGATTTTGGCTCACTGCAACCTCCGCCTCCCGGGTTCAAGCGATTCTCCTGCCTCAGCATCCCGAGTAGCTGGGATTACAGGCATGCACCACCACACTCAGCTAATTTTGTATTTTTGGTAGAGACGGAGTTTCTCCAGATTGGTCAGGCCGGTTTCAAACTCCCAAACTCAGGTGATCCGTCCGCCTCGGTCTCCGAAAATGCTGGGAGGCCTCCCGAGTAACTGAGAGTACAGGCATGGACCACCACGCCCGGCTAATTTTGTATTTTTAGTAGTGACAGAGTTTCTCCAGATTGGTGAGGCTGGTCTCGAATTTCTGACCTCAGGTGATCCGCCCTCTTCAGCCTCCCAAAGTACTGGGATTACAGGAGCCATGGCACCTGGCCTTGTTTTGCTTTTTGTTGTTTCCTGATGCAGGTTTGTGATCTCTTTAAGGGATCAGGACCACATCTCCCTGTCCCAACTTATATTTCCAGTGTCTGTGGTGGGACCCTGACTGAGGATGGGAACAGAGCAACAATCTGGAATCATTTGGACCATTGAGTCCTGTGGACAGTCACTTCAATATCATCCCTAGAGAGTCTCAGAAATTCAAGACCTTTTGGAATGCTGCCAAAATGGGTCCTTTGGCAGGAGCCCCCTTTGTCTTTTCTGTTTTCTGACCTCAAGTAATCTAAGGAACTAAAAATGGTAATAAATGACAGTTAATAATAAGAACAATAATAGTGCATGTATAACATGGACATTGTTTATCACGCAAAGCATGTTCTTCACCTTCTCCCTACAACTCCACGAGGCACTTATAATGAAATGTATAGCAATGATAGAATTCTTGTTATGGGGGCAGGGTTGGTTCTAACACTTCAAATTATATGATCTCATATAACTTTCCTATAAAATAGGATGATTATTATTGTGGTTTTGCAGATGAGGAACCCACAGCCCAGAGAGGTTAAAAATATCCTCCCAGGTCACACAGCTTGGGAGTGGCAGAGCTGTAGGGACTTGGACCAGTCTTCTGACTTCTTAGTGTGACTCTCAGAAGTTAGAGGATAGTGTGACTTCTTAGTGTGACTCTCAGAAGTTAAGAACAAGCAAAGGGCCGGGCACGGTGGCTCACCCCTGTAATCCCAGCAGTTTGGGAGGCTGAGGCAGGTGGATCACCTGAGGTCAGGAGTTCGAGACCAGCCTGGCCAACATGGTGAAACCCAGTCTGTACTACAAATACAAAAAATTAACTGGGCATGGTGGCGCATGCCTGTAATCCCAGCTACTTAGGAGTCTGAGGCAGGAGAATCGCCTGAACCTGGGAGGCGGAGATTGCTGTGAGCCAAGATCGCACCATTGTGTTCCAGCCTGGGCAACAAGAGCAAAACCCAACCCAAAAAAAAAAAAAAAAAAAAAAAAAAAGAACAAGAAAAGGGTATATCCCTTGGCCGTGAGCAGGAGGACTGAGTGTGTCACCCACCCTCCCCATGCACCTCAGGCACAAACAGAAAGCTAAACATCTTGCACGAAGATACCTCGTGCTCTGGCTGCCGGCCTTTTCCGCAGCCATGGACCAGGCAGAGACAAAGGGGCCAAGAGGCCTTAGGTGAGGGCTGCCATGCTGGAAAATTCTGGGCTGTGGGTGTGGGCAGGAGTCATGGGTAGAGGTCAGAAGCCTCAGTCTTGGCTGGGTGTGGTGGCTTATACCTGTAATCCCACCACTTTGGGAGGCTGAGGCCGGCAGATTACCTGAGGTCAGGAGTTCAAGACCAGCCTGGCCAACATGGTGAAACTCTGTCTCTACTAAAAATACAAAATTAACTGGGCCTGGTGGCACAGCTCCTGCGTAAGTTCTCAAGTCTACTCGGGAGGCTGAGGTAAGAGGATCTCTTAAACCCAGGAGGCGGAGGTTGCAGTGAGCTGAGATTGCCGCTGCACTCCCGCCTAAGAGATAGAGTAAGACTTTGTCTCAAAAAGCAAACAAACAAACAAACAAACAGAAAAACGCCTCAGTCTTTGTGCAAAATCTATAATCATTTGCAAGAGGCTGCAATCAGGTATGCCACTGGATTTTGTGACCAAAATTAGGTTTCAGGATTTAATTACTATCAACCTTCACTGCGGATGGGACATTGAGCTCTTTTTGCCATGATCTTGACCTCTCCCTTCACCCTCCAACAGTCTCTTCTAAGTACTCACCTCTATCTTGGGTGTGTTTAGGTGTTGTAGGGACCCTAAGCGTTACAAAGGTTGTGGTGACCCCTCTCCCAACCCTGTCATTAAAAACAAAAACAATGTCAGGTCATAAAACACAAAACTTATATACATGATGTGGAAATGGTCTCATTCATTTTTTGATTGCAAAATTCCGAACTGTTTTTTTGTGTGTGTGTGTGCGGGGGGAGGTATGAGATATTGTTTTGTTTATCTACCTCTTTATTATCATTGACTGTGAAATTCTTGAGAACGGGGCATCTAAGTGCCCAACACAGCCCTGGTGCTTTGTTGAATCAGGTGGCTGTCAAGAGTTGCTGTTTCAGCCCGGCATGGTGGCTTACGCCTATAATTTTTGCCCTTTGAGAGGCTGAGGCAGGAAGATTGGTTGAACCCAGAAGTTTGAGACCAGCCTGGGCAACAGAGTGAGACCTTGTCTCTATAAAAAACTAATGAAATAAAAATTAAAAAATAAAGAAAGAACTGCTTTGTCTTCAAGGAAACAAGATACACGGTCTACAGTCATT